TTTCTTTTCTGTAGATTCTTAAGTCTACTGTGTTTAACCCCCTTTGTTTGTTCTGACTGTAACGTTCTTTATCAGCTTTGGCATGTGTATAATTAGGGTGTCTGCATTTGGGGGAAAATGTATAATCACATCATAAATTTGCTGGTTATATAAAATGGGAAACTCCCAAAAGTTTACATTTAAAACACAACATTTTCAGATCCTCCATTTGGTGCTCGAGAAACCCTCAAAGCATGGCAGGAGCGCAATCACCCCTGGTTAGAGCTCTCAGACGTGCATAAGGAGACAACAGAAAATATCAGGGTCACTGTTATCCCCTTTTACATGGGGTGTCGGGAGTCACAAAATGCTAATGTTTACTGGGTAAGTTTACCCTTTGATGTGTACTCTCTTTACATAGCTTCTATTATTGTTATATTTTTGCTTTCTTTTTCTTTTTATTCTGTATCTTTTCGCTTGAACTGTCAGGAGTTCTTTTTTTTTTCAGGATTTTATATATGTAGTTTTGTTATTTTTATGTTTGATTATCACCAAAGATATTGATATAAGAATCAGGTCCATTTTTATAGAATTCATTCCTGACTTGTGCATTCAGTTATTATTTATTTATTTATTTATTTGATTATTATATTTTTTTAGACAGGACTAAAACTAATATCAATACATTAATTTCTGTTTTCATACAGTGGCGTTACTGCATCCGCTTAGAGAATCTAGGAGATCTAACAGTCCAATTGCGTGAAAGACACTGGAGGATCTTCAGTCTCTCAGGAACCCTGGAAACCGTAAGAGGTAGAGGTGTAGTAGGCCAAGAACCCGTGCTTTCCAGACAACAACCTGCATTTCAGTATTCGTCACATGTGTCGCTGCAGGCACCTTCGGGACACATGTGGTAAGTAATAAGTATTAATCGGTGATTTTATTTTTGCTTTCTTTATTCTTTTAGAGGTGGAGACGAACATTGCCACCGAAAAGTGTGTGATAAATTGTGTTAATGTTTTCATCACCCAAGTATTATTCTTTTTATTCTGTGTATGATAGATTATGTCAATGTTTTCATCACCCAAGTATTGTTCTTTAACTCTGCCTATATATTTCAAGAGAGTAAAGGTAGCTTCCTAGCCTTTTACTGGTCACTTAATTATTGAATAAGATGCAGATTCAGCAATAACTGCTTACATAGCAAAATTGCTGTTATAAATTTGTCTTGTTTATTTTAATGATGTTCTAAATGATGAAGTCCTTATAAATGTTAGGGATTAATGTATGAATCCAAAAGTTATTGAATTGAAAGCCTGGACTTAATTATGATGATTTTACAGCCTGTTCATGATGTTCAGCTAACAATGCTAATGATAGGGTATATATTTTACTGAATTACATTATATAAATCTATCATTACCTTCCATAAGAAAAAAAAAGGATACATATTTTACCAAAATGCCTTACCTACATATCTGTTTTGACCTTCCATGAGAAAAAAAAGCAGATCAGCTTAGTAATTGTATATTTTTCAGGGGGACCTTCAGGATGGAGAGAGAAGATGGATTCACGTTTGACTGCCGCATCCCACCTTTCTCTTTGGAGAGCAAACAAGAGGATACGTCTCAGCCAACGAGTGTAATATAGTGAACAAAATTTATAATCCCTCAGTTCCAGTTCTTGTGGATGTGCAGAGGGCGATCTAAGTGACATAGATTGTGATACAACTTTAGAGCTTTTAATTTATTTATGGTTAGCCTATGGCCTGAAGCTCGGTCTTTTATTCATGTTCTGAATGGGGCAAAAAGCTTCGAGATTTGACCATGTATTGTTTTTTTTTACAATCAGTCACACATTCAGTTTGTAAAATAATTTCTTTCTTCCCTGTAAATATACTCTATTTATAATGCTCCATAATAATTTGGGAAATTTGGATATTCATTATTAAAGTTCTTTTGGGTCATATTTTGGTCACCAAACGTTATTCATTATATCTTTCATGATTATCAATTACACACCAGACAAATTGTTTTATTAACATTTATATTCTCATTTACAAAATGTAAATCCTATGTTCGATTTTTAAAGAATAGTGGTTGTATTATTTTGATAATAAAAGAAAACAAAATGGTATAATGGTCTGTGGTGATTTAAAAACCCATGCTGTTATTGAAAATTCTACATAAGGATAACTTTGAGTTGATGTCAGGCCACAAATAGATTGCCTTGCAGTTTTGCTGTGTGTATAGTATGTTCTCTCAGTAAGGAAAGTTGTTTTTCCATCTTTTTAAAAACTCATTACAATGAATACTAAAGACCTCATGATGGTATGAAAAGTAATTAACCCCAGAGCATCCGCAACAGTTAATAACAATATTTTGTGCCATATAATGTAGGATATCTGTCAGTTTTATTTATTTCTTTATAATTATGACTTTTTTTCCAAAACCTGTGCACCTTAGAGTGGATTCAGACAGTGCTTTTCTTATCCAGGTTGAAATCGACCAAATTTGGACCAATTAATTAAAGATGATTGCCACTGAATTATTTTACTTAATGAGGGAAAATTGTAACATGGTGGTGTTATTAGATTCTCATTGCTGTTACCAGTTAGAAGCAATTTGGAAATAACTTTTCAGGGTTAATAGCTTTTGCTATAAATGAAGTTGCGCACACACACACACACACACACACACACACACACACACACACACACACACACACACACACACACACAAACACAAACACACACACACACACACACACACACACACACACACACACACACACACACACACACACACACACACACACACACACACACACACACACACACACACAAACACACACACACACACACACATAAACACAAAAAAAAGTGAAATAGAAATAGAAAGTTAGAAATCACAAGAAAAGCAATATTTGATGAAAACTGTAATCCCCTTCCTTGTCAATTTTGAGCAAGTGCAATATCAGGTATGACAGAAAGATTAGATTTTAGTTTTCAGTATATCTGAATTTCCTGTAGAATTGTCAACTTTTTTCAGTTGTTAGCAACATGAAAGAGGAATTCAGTAATTTTCCTTTTGAGTGTATTTAATTCTTAGTTTGTTGGCAAACAAAATATTTATAAAATGCCAAGAAAGCCAATTAATGTATGAATAGATTTCTAAGCAATTTTTTCTATTTGCAGTATTATATAATTGATTTGTTAAAGTAAATAAAGATCTTTCTCACAGCAAATTTCATTATAACATTGTCTATTCTGTTCTGGGAACAGTTGGTGACTACCTAATCTTACCTCACAATTATGGATAAAGAATTCTAACTAGGTTTCTAGTAACTAACCTTAAACCAAGTGAAAAACCTAATTCAAAAAAAGTAATGATTTCTAGTATTATTCAAATGATCATCAATGTATTCCCATAAATTTAGTTTTATTTTATGAAATTCCGATATAGACACATGGATTATGAAAGTTAAACTAAAACTTCACTGAAATAACCTTCAGGGTGGCAATCAATGCATCAGTTTGTAAATATTGGCACAATATTTTATGCTAAAAGAATTTTCCATATATACTGGCTGTCCATTTTTTATTTTTAACTTCAGAATCCAAGAATGATAATCACAAGTGGATATGAAATAAGAACATATTAAGCCTTTCTCTGGTAGATCAGAATATAATTGCTTAATAAAACAAAAACTCCTTTTCCTATCTGACATTACCATATCTGTTACATATATTTTGATTTCAGTTGTCAGAACTTCATTATTCTTCAGTGCTACTGACTGGGGAAAAATAATAATGTTATGAACACACAAAAACAGGAAAGTCAAAGAAGTGAATGTATAGGTTTTAGTGGTTAATGATTAAGGATTTGCAGAAATAAGTGTGCTAGACATTAAAGGTCATAAAGCACTACAGTAAAGTATTGTGACAAAAAAGTTGGAAATGAGTTAACAATCAGGATAAAATGTGTTAGATGTCAAAGGTTGTAGAACATTGTAGGATAGAAAGTGAAAAGGGGGATGTGGTTGAAGGTATAGGGCAATCAAATGAAATGGAAAGTGTGTGTCTGAGGAAGGGAGAGAAACTGCAAAAGAGCTATTATGGAACAATCAAAGGGTAATACTGTAAGAAATGATAGTTGTAGAAGTAGAAAAAGAATCCTGAGAATGCAATAAGGGAACAGAGAGGAAGGTGGTTAAGTATCGGGAAGAATGCCAGGAGGGGAGGGATCCAAAGAACGACATTGTTGTTGGATAAGTGAGTAATGTGAGCATCTAAGTGTGGGTAAAAAGGATAATGGGGAAGGAAGAGGGAATGGTGATGCACATGGAGGAGGAGGAGATGGGATGTTTCTTGGGTGAGTGGGAGGAAGAGGGGTAGGGGGAACTTGAGGAGGAGGATGGATATCGGCAGATACTTTGAATGTAGAGCGAATAAAGGATTTACAGGATGGACGAGGTTGGAGAAACAAAGTTTTTCTTATGTGGAGGAGAAGGGAGAAGAGATGTCCAGATGAGGAAGGGGCCTCTGGGAGGAATAGTGTAACACAGGACTGCCACTGCATCATAGTCAACAAGGCATGGAAGCAAGACATTTTCACAATCTGACCAGGTCTTGTCATTGACAGGACAGTCATTAGGAAAGATGGAAACAGTTCCAGCACAAGTATCAAGGAAGGAATGATGTTGACCAGTGAGGTCAATCAGGGTAGATACTGCATGAGCTTGGGATTCAGATGTACTGTGATGAGGCATGAACAATCAGAATAGAAGAATGAGGGCAGGAGGAAGATGGGGTGGTATGGAGAGAGGTTTACTGTTGGGTGGAGGACAATAGGGATGGGGTACACAATGAAGAAGACTGAGCAGTAGAAGGTGGGATGGAGGATGGTTGGAGAGAGGGAGTGTATTCTGAAGGTTGAGTAATGACCTGGGTAGATGATTCAGAATGAATGGAGTCGACCACAAACACTGAGGAGGGGATACTAGAATAAGTCGAAGGAGAGGCAGGGATTGGGGAACCAATGAAATCAATTTTAGATAGGGTAGTTGCTGAAGGGGCAAGCCTTAATGCCCCTAATAGGGGTAAAAACTTTTCATTATTGGCTATGCTGAGCCTGAAATAAATGCGCAGAGTCCCCATAAGGGGTAAGGGCTAGATAATTAACCATGCCCATGGCTCCTGGAGGCCATTCATGACTGGCGCAAAGCCAACTTTTCATCACTCTCACACCTTAGGAAGAGGACAAAAGAACGGGATGATGAAGAAGAGAAGGAAAGGAAAGGGGGAGAAGAAAACACTATGCAAAATTAGTGAGGTGAGGGTGAGATCCACAGTAGGGGTGATCCCCTACACTGGGCCCCAGTCTCTGTCTCCTAAGCCCCCCTACAACAACTACTAGCAAGACAAAAGAACGGGATGATGAAGAAGAGAAGGAAAGGAAAGGGGGAGAAGAAAAGACTATGCAAAATTAGTGAGGTGAGGGTGAGATCCACAGTAGGGGTGATCCCCTACACTGGGCCCCAGTCTCTGTCTCCTAAGCCCCCCTACAACAACCACTAGCAAGAGATTAGGTGGGTATATGTTTTAGTGATCCTGTTACAAATCTTACCAGGAAGTGGTTTGCTTGCAACATTAGGGGTTTAATATGCTAGAGCCATACTAAAATGTGTTGAAAAATATCTTACATTTCCAGTGAGCTACTTTACCCAAATATTTTTCTGTTGCAGAGCTTTTAAGCAAGCTGTTTTCTCCTTATATCTATATCAGTGCTATGAGACCACAAAGTTTTATAAGAGTACTTTCAAACTAACTGAATTAAGCTTTCCTCTAGACACACCACCAAAACAATTACCTATATAATTTTAATCCAATCTACAAGAGTTTTACAACATAAAGTCAAGGTGACAAAGATGAAGATATCTGTATTAGATAACCACAGTTTAATCATTACATTCTGTTTTCTGCTTCTTTAGGATCTTGTACAGGCACCTACATAACAGTAGAGTGAATTTGAGAGACTACAGTTTTTACTCTTTTCTACCAGTCATTTACTTTATTCAACGGATTTGCAACTTACTTCTTTATCCAACGGCCAACAGAGACAAATTTGATGAAAGGTCTAACCAACCAACTTCTCAACAACAGAAAAGAGAAAGGGAAAGGGAAAGGAAAAGGGAGAAGGAGAGGGAGAGGGAGAGGGAGAGAGACAAGACAAGACAACACAACACCCTGAATTTCTCTGGATATTTTGGAAGTAATCATGAACACTGTCCTAAAAGGTTTTGTAGTAAAAACAATACTTAACAGGACATACATCAACACTGTATTTTATTACAAAAACATTCTTAAAACTCATTTGGTATACAACTTGAAACTCTGCAATAATATAAACTGTATGATGCTGCCACACTTAAATTATCAATAACATTACACTCACTAAAATTAAAACATTCTGATTACACAATTAAAATGAAGTATCAACTTACAAGCTTTAGTACAACTGAAATTTATAGAATAAATAAACATAAGTGACTTAAAATCTCATAAAACATTTGTATGAAATAATATGCAAAATCAAGAGCCAATCATCTGAAAACTATCAACCTGATGATGGCTTTGTACTTTATTTATGTCAGTGAAGTAAAAGTTCCAGAAAGGTATGTCTATTTCTAAAAAATATCAGTTACAGGGTACCATAATGAGTGATTTTGCACTTCTAGTTCATGACAACCTTTTGTGAAGAAGTACAGTAAATACTTATCCTAAACGGAATAGTTCACCAAATGGTGGTCTAGAAAGCAGAAAAAACAGCAGTTTAAGATTTATGAAGAAGAAAACTCTGACATTCAAGAGAATCCTAGCTGCAGAAACATGCCAAAGCAACAAGAGAGTATGGAAATTTGTATTAAAAATGATCTATGGTTAAAAGAATACTACACTGATTAATATTTTTTTTAAGTATGTGTTTACAGGCACATTGTGGAGCTCTAATCCCTAGAAAATAATCTTGCTAACTCTCAACTATCAAATATTTAATTTTATTGCTTACTGAAGTTAACAAAATCATCAGAACTGACAATATCACAGTGAAACCTCTTTTAAGAACCTCCTTAGGCCAGAGCCACTGTACCATTCAGATTGCACAATAAAATAATGCATATATAAGGAATTCAAGGACATATTTGTACTGTAGGTATCATGAAGGAGACAAGTATATGAATACAATTTATTCTTCTCTTGACAAAATAAATAGCAATCTAAAAAAAAAAGATAAAATAAAAAACTTTACTCTCCTGCATACTGTATAGTGGATTTTCATATACTTACCAAGATACAACTGACAAGACATGTACTGTATAAAAGACTTTAATGGCAGTGTATATATTACTGTAGTTTTTTCTTCACAGCATAGATGTTGTGTTACCTGGTTACTGAGCCAATTCAGATTTGTAATGCAGAATACAAATATGACAAAAAATGCACAGTCTTTATTGTACACTTAT